TAGGTTACATGCAAATGCTATGCCATTTGTTATAAAGATTGAGCATCAACAGATTTTGGTGTCCTAGGGGGTCCTGAAACTATTCCCTCTGGGTACTAAGACATGACTGTATATACCAAGAAGTTGTAAGTTTAGAGTACTGGCTAATGATTTTTAATTTCAGTTGTACGTGAGATTGCTCTTCTACTTTCATTTGCTGGTATCCAAAGATTTGCTGGAGATTTTGATCCAGTTGTTCTGGAGAAGAAGGGTTAGGGATAAGTGTGCATTCTACATCTCAGCCAGCCTAAGGTATAGAAGTATGACAGTATGAAAATGACACAGTAAGTCTAGACTTGAAAGAGCACATTGACAACAGTGGAGGAGGATGGCTTGAAAGAGACACCTCACAATCATAAAAACAGCCTATTGTCATAGTCCAAATGAGAAATATAGAACAGCTTAGCAGAGGCCAGAGTGCAGGGGATGGAAAAATAATCAGAAGGGAGCATCTGGAAGGCATGAGAGGAGGTTGAAGAAGGAAACGGTCAGCATCCACAGAAAGGTCTGATGGGAAAGACTGAGACTCTTCTGGCTGGACACATAAAGGGCAAGTTTTATCTGAATAGTGGATAGCTGCCCTACAGAAGTCAGATAGTTTTGGTTGAGGTCCTGGCACACACATTCAGAAGATGCAAGTTCATCATGAAAGTTACCCTAGGTTCTGAGTTGGAGTTCTGGAAATGAGATGAAAGGACTAGAACTGGGAGGTGGGACCACACTGTGAGGACTTTGGGTACTGGGGACTAGGTTAGTGGCAATGGCAAAATCTGGTTCTCTGGTCTTAGGCTCATGTTAAAAGAAAAGTGAGAGGATTTAGACTAGGAAGGGTGAAACAAGGCACAATTAAGGCTTGTTAGAAGACCAATGCCATTCCTTTATGGTCCTGATGATTTTTAACAGTTATTTTAACAACAGAATGATGAAAATGTGTGGTTTTTCTCTATCCCTTGGGATAGCTTGGCCACTGAAAAAGGTTGCAACTAATAGAAAAAAAATGAATTTTATTACTTAACTGTGGATTTAATTAATTTGTGCTCTTCCTGTTTCCATTGCCATGTATTTTCTGAGTTGACTGGTTGACTCGGCAGAGAGAGCGTTTCTACTACAGTATATGAACTAGAAAAAAAACTATGAAGTTCTTTCTCACTCTGAAAATATTTAATATTAAAAGAGCCAAAATAATATAAAAGGAAAGTGTAACTACTTTAAGCACATTTTTTGCATTATTTTAGGTATAAAGAAGAATTAATGAGCTCTGAATTTTGGTTTATTATCAGGATTTCCCAACCTTGGCACAGTTGACCCTTTGAGCTGGTTAATTCTTTGTTTACCTTGTAGGGTTTGGTAGCTTGCCTGGCCTCTGTCTGCCACATACCCCTAGCATCCCTCACTTCCAGTGTGACAACAAACAGTGTCTCTTAACATTGTTAACATTCCCCTGGGTATGGGTGGGTGTGGAAGGCAAAATCACCCTTGGTTGAGAATTACTGGTTTAAATATATTGTGGTGATTTTATCAGAAAAGAATCACTTCTGCTTGCTGGTTTAATAAGCTTTATTGAGTTTGTGGTATTTCAAAAGCTGTTTATCACCAGGAAATAAAACCTATGGATGGTGATACATTTCCATGAAGAAAGTTTACTTAGAAGATATTTAAAGACTAAGAAAAAGCTATTTGTTTACCTATTTTACCTACCCCCCCTCACTTTTTCATTTATTTATTGGATCTGCTGTCATTTAATTTTTGTCCTGGGCCATTAAGATTGTAATGCAAAAATAATACTAGCAATTTAGACCTGGATGTGAAGATGTGGATTTCACACTTAATTCCCTCTCATTTGGAGCAGGCCACTTCATCCTTTCTGTGTAAATTTTCTCATCTGGAATGAAGGAGGTAAAGCAGTATTATCTGTAAGTTTGCTTCTAGTTTTAAACATTGAAGCTTTAATAATTTTTATTGTTTCTGTGAGTTGTTCCTCACTCTCATGACATATCCCCAATGCAATAATTGTCAGAAAGTGTTCTGTAGGCTCCCAGTGGTCCTTGGACTACAATGCTGATCTCCAGGGACATAGGTATAGAGAGTAAACAACTAAAACAGTCAGTGCCACTTGACAGGGTGGGTATTCTATGCCCAGTGCGTGTAATAATTGAAAAAGTGAGCTGGTATTTTCTATAGTCTTTAAATTCCATTTTTCTAGTAAGAAAACGTTTACTAAGTTTTATAAAAGTATTGGTTCACATTGGATTAGAATCAGAACAAAATAAACTGGTCTTTCACTGGAGGTAATGTGAAAGGCACTATTTGGATATATGGTGGAAGTTTTTCTCTGCTTCTCTACTCTGGCCAATGAAAGAGAGTATGTTTTGCCTCTGGGGCTTAAATAAAAAGAGGAGGAAGACATTGCCCTTCTAGTCTATTAGCAGCATAAAGTTGGTGGCAAATAGAATTTATTATAAAGAAGTTTGCTTTACAGAAAAACAGAGGTCACTTATTTCTTATTTTTTTAATTCATTTATTCATATGTGTATACATTGTTTGGGCCATTTTTCTCCCCTGCTCCCCGCCTCCTCCCTCTCACTTATTTCTTGAGCATTTATAAGGTTCTCTTTGTCCAGGTTTCACATAGTTCAAGTTAGTATCTTTGACTAAGGTTACATGTTTATCTTAGAACATGAAGTCAAAGAGTAGTGAAAATCGCCTTTCTTTAGTTGTCTTATTACCCGAATAGCTCTTATATGTGAAGTCAACTCTTAATACCTGGTGTGCTAAAGTCTCCCTAACTAGCTGATGGAGTGAGGGCAGGTGAGGAAGCAAAAGCATGGGTTACATTTACTGCAGAGATTTTCACAGATGTTTTTGAATCTACTCCGTCTTCAGATTCATCCATCATGTGAGGAAATCTACTATATGGACTGGAGTGTGGTAAACTGACATGAGAACAAGGGCAGTTAAGCAATAGAGCACTTCACAATCTGACTTTGGTCTGATCTTCCAATATTTCTACTCACTTTTTTCCATGTCAAATATGATGGAAGAACAAGACTTCCAACAGTTATTTGAAGCCCAAACCACTGTTGGGTTCCCTGTCCTATGTAGACTGCTTGTTCCAATACCTCTATCTCATTTAGAGTGGAATAACCAGACGGCCCTGTTACTCCTGGGAGCCCTTTGCACATGACCTGGCATTGCTTAGGAGTGGTCTCCTGTCCTGTACCTCCTCCCTGATCTATGTCGGTTTTGTGTAACACTTCCTCCTTCTGAGTGAAAAAGGCAAGATCTTTCCTGCCCTATTAGCAGCAAAAAAATCACCCTTTCTTTAAGTTTTTAATTCAGGAGATGAAAATATATAATGTATTCGGAAACTCCACCAGCAGACTTGGCAGGCATTTCATATTTACTTGGACTTTACATGAATTGGATTTGGTTCTCTGATTTCCCTGCCTCCATCTCTCGGAATGAGTTATTTATTATCTGAGCGCGCCTGTGTTAGCGGATCAGACACGCACATGGCACGTTGATTGTAAGTGCGTTTGTTCAGTAAGATTTATGCTAGCTCAAATAGTTTTATATTGGTTTTCATTGTTGAAAATATACTGTATTCTTCCTCGATTTGGCATGAGTATTTGTAGTATGCTAAAGGTACCTGTGGTTGTATACTTTATCTCTGTAACACTTCATGCAAAGGAAATTAAAAATATATAGTGAAAGTATTTCCTTAATATGTTTCCAATCAGCTGTGTACTTTAGTAATTTGATTTGTAGGAACTAGAGAGCAGAGTATGACTGAGCTCTTTTCAGTCATTCATAATTCTTTGGGAATTCAGATCATGGTTCTGAGTTTATGAAAACATCTGTTGAAAATTTCCTAAGTCTTTTTATTTTTCTGCGTATGTGTATTAAGAAGTATTTTTTTTTTTTTTACCACAATGGTGTCTAAAAGAAGTCATGGAGGGAGGTGAGTCTTTTCTCTGTGCTTTGGAGAAGATAAACTGATGTGAGTTGAATTAGTCAGAAGTGCTTCACTGCAACAAGAGACCATTTTACTTCTACATAATCTCATGTTGTATGTTCCTGCATCTATGCTTTTTGGGGCTATTTTTGGTAAATCTCTGGGTTCCTAAGAATTCAGTGACCATGTGTATTTCCAGGTATGTTTTCCCAGAAAGTGTGTATCATAGTATAGACAGAATGTAAGTTGTACAAACAAATCAATATTGAATGAATCATGTTCTTCATACTGTTACTTTTTTTTTTTTTTTTTGCCATCCAGGGATGTAAGCTAATTGACTTGTTTCCTTGTTTGAAGATCTCTGGCTACTGACTTCTGTTTTGCCCAGTGAATTAGTATGGCTTTTATTTTGGCCAGTGAGTTAACACAGGGGAATTCATACATTGGTATTACCTGGAAGTAAAATGAAAGTAAAATATGAAATCATAGCTCTTAAAGGTGAGAGGTAAGCCTTGGAAGGCTTTATCTGGGGAAGAAAGTAGATCTTCAAGAGTGGGATAGGTTTAGAATTTTTCAATCAGTTCCTATATTTTAATTTTCTGCTTTTATTTCCCACCATGTTTTAAACTTCCCTCTTGATCTTCAGCAATTTTGAATTCATTTAGTTATGGAAGATCCTGTTTCATAGTGGTGTTTTTAGCTCAGCTACTTCTCATACTTGATTAAGCATAAATAAAATCATGATGTTATATATTTTAGCCAAGAGAATTTACTAATCTATGGTTTTTTTATTTGAAAATATAGTCCACAAGGTTAATGCATTCAGTAGTCAAAGAAGTAATGTAAGCACATGCCAAGTGGATACTTAGAAGGCTTAGCTGTGTTTGGGAAAAGTAGCAAAGAGCCAGTCTTGGCTTAGAGGATTTAATTTCTTTTTCTCCAAAGAGAAAGGAAGCCCACATTCATTCTTGGCCTTTCTTTTCCTTTCTGTTTTTTTCCTGTCTAGGTTGCACCTATGAAGGAAATACTTATAACAGCTCTTTCAAATGGCAGAGCCCAGCTGAGCCCTGTGTCTTGCGTCAGTGTCAGGTAAATTATATTATTGTACACTCCAGTAAAAAGGAATCCATGGAGTCTTCCTCAGCTACCCATTTCAGACAACACAGAGTGAGGCCCCCAAAGACAGACAAAATGAGAAACAAATGAAAAACAAACTGGGTCCTTGTACATATTTATTGTGACATTTACCATAACAAGACAGGTACAGGATAGATATTGTATAGGACTTGTTTCCAGAAACACATAGCAGAATGGTCTACCATTGTTAAATTATGCCTGGAAAAATTCCAGGAAGATGCATATGTCCTTGGGGGAAACTCATGTCTTCCTGTGAAATCATCTCTGAGAAAAACATGAATTCCTGTTAGCAGAAAAGAGGCATTGTTAGATAAGAAATGTTTTCCTTCTTTGATTTAGAAAGATTTTTGAACTGGAGCCAATCTGTAAACTGTATTAAACTGAAGCAATTAGTGCACTGTAATCTCAGTGATTTCAGCCTGACAAATTTAAGAACCACCAGTTCAGCAACTAAGGAATCCATTGTGGTTGATCCTTGATGAATTCCAAAAGGTGTAGTAATTCCACTTGGCTCTAATCCCTGCAGGTATTAAACACAGCAAAATGAACCAAAGAGAAATGAAGATCCTACATTTTCAAACTCCTTTGTTTATCTCTATAGAACTACTTTGTTAAAAAATAATGCTTTTCTAATTTTAACATAATTAAAAAATTGCCTATACAGATGATGCTGTTAAATCATTTTTAGTACAAAAAGACAAGAACAATGAATTTTAATAATACTGAAAGCCCACATTCCTATCAAAATTTGTAGCACTCCACCTCTGCCCTGTCTCTTGATCAGTGAAATTTTCACTGTTTAGTAGGGGCACTGCAGAAGCCTCGGTTACAATGTCATTCAATAAGATGGCCTCATGCCCTTTGAAATCCAGCATAACATTTGTATACAACCCTCAGAGACCTTATCAGTCCTCTAATTGCTTGGACTGGGGTACATTTTGCTGCCTTTGGATGGAGACATTTTTTAAATTAAATGCAAGCTATCTTATGGGAAGGCATGTTTTGTTGCCTAAAGAGTAAATGAAGTCATTATCTACCATTAGGACTGAAACTTCTATTGCCTATCACTGTTAGTTGCCGGCTACTCAACAGGGCCCAGGAGAGGATTGATGCAGGAATACTGAGTTATTATCAGAAGTTAGGAAATGCTCAACTGCAGAATGGTGCACAGGAGGGGGATGCTGGCTGCTCAAAATGAACTTCGCCTCTCATTCTTCCTCCTTCTCTAAAACTTCACTTAAGCCACTATAGTGAATATTCAATAAGCAGAAAGCAAAACTCTGTGAAGGTAGTTACACAAAGCTGTTCCTTTGCTCAACTGGCACCTTCCTGCTCCTACCCACTTGTTTCCTTCTTTTGGAAATGAGACCTCATTGAAGGATGCAGGACACCATTTACCTGTATCTAGCAGGCAAGTCTTGTTCCCCCAAAGAAGGACACAATTGCAGTCTGTCTCTACAAGCTCTTCTCTGGGCACAAAATCAGTTACAGAGGAGACGGCAAGGGCACGTGGGCTCTGTCTCTCATATAGCTAGTTCCTTTATCTCTCCATGCCTCACTTGTACCCTCTTTACATTGGGAGCAGATGATTTCTTTGCAAAATTGTAAGCAATAAGTGAGACTATGATTAAAATGCTTCTGCTAGATGCCTGCATGTGGTGGGTACAACTAGGAAGCAGACAGGTGACAGCAAATCTAATGAATGATCTGGTCTACCTTCTGCCTTAAATCTTCTGATGAAATGATGGCGAAAATTCACCTTTACTGTCCCGCTTTTAGTTTCTTAGTAGAAGAGGAAAATCTGAAGATCACAGACAGGAAATTGAGTCTGGGAGCTAACCTGAGTCCTCCATCTGGATTGCAGATATGGAGGAAAAATTGACCTCAGGCTATAGCTTTCTGCATTGCTTCAGTTATATAACTAAAGCATAGCTCCTTTTTGATGTTGTCTATGCTGATATTTTAGGAATTTTTTTCCTCCAAATATAATATAGACCACAATAAATTCCCCTTAGAGTACAAACCACAGGTCTGACATGATGTAAAGACATGTAAGACACAACCTTCCTTGTCAGATTGAGATGACATGGTAGCAGAGACAATGAATCAAATGGCCAACTGTTGAATTGTAACATCTGTTTTCTCCATTCAAAACAAAATTAAACAAATAAACAAAAACAGGAATTTGTTTACAAAATGGGTAGAGAATATAGAAGGACTTCTTCAGTGACCAAATGTGTAAATCAATTTTGAAAATGTTTCAATTGGCTGGGAGCCAAGCTTATACCTGTAATCCTAGCTACTCAGGAGGTAGAGATCAGGAGTATCATGGTTCGAGGCCAGTCCAAAAAATTGAAAGCGAGACTGTATTTAAAAAAAAAAAGGAACCTCAACACATAAAAGGACTGGTACAGAGTGGCCCAAGTGGTAGAGCATCTGGCTAGCAAGTGTGAGGCCCTGAGTTCAAAACCTCAGCACTACAAAAAAAAAAGTTTCAGTTGAAATTAAAAATATTACAAGTGCCAAGATTGATTTGCAAATGACTAACTTGATTTCGTGATTAAAACCTAAACTCTGTGTTTTGGCATATTTAATATAAACTTAGAAACAGTTTTGTCTGATCTTTTCATTTAATGTTGAACAAAACTGAGACCCAAACTTTATGTGAGGCTGAGTGATATTTATAAGATTGCATCTATCTGGTTTTTCCTAGAAAGTGTTAGGATTTATCTGGAGGTACAAACCTGGATGCTAGTTTGGGAATTATGCTTGCACTCTGTGTCTCGTGGTCAATGAGAGGTGTAGTAACAATGATAGGAAATACAGCTAGTATTGAAAGCCATCGTGAATGCGCAGCTAGGCTCTGTCAGGTACTGACTGAAGGCAAGAAAGTCTTACTAACTAGACAACAGGAAGACAAAGAGAAAGTGCAAGGACAGGATAAAGAACAGGTGACAGGATTTGCACTTGGAAGGCCGAAGCATTGATCAGGGAAAGCTGTATCGTATCTCATTTGTGCCAGGAACCTCTGAGCCTGACACCTCCCCAACCTTGCACTTTTTGGGTTCAGATTCTTCTCCTTCCTTGGTTATGCTCCTAAAGTAATTCCTCAGTGAGAATTCTGGCTGACTTACTTGTGATGTTCTGTTTTCCAGGAGGGTGTGGTCACAGAGTCTGAGGTGCGCTGTGTTGTTCACTGCAAAAACCCCTCAGAGCATCTGGGAGCCTGCTGCCCTTCATGTCCAGGTAATGCTCACTCGGGAAGGGGAACTCTGGATGTCTCTGTGCAGCACAAGGGCTATTGAGATCTCAGGGTTCTCTCCAGAGTGCCTGATCTCTCTCGCCATTGACTGGAATTTTCCTTGCTTTCCATCTGGCTACCTAATGGGCTGAGAGAGCAGGTTACTTTGCATAGAACTGTCTGGTTGGCCTTTGTGTGCCCAGCCTGGGCGAATGCACTGTGCTGGAGTCTTGGACTTTCCTGACCCAGAGGCCTGTTTTTCACCGCACAGGGCCACAGGTAACGCTTATTTTGGAAGGAAGGGCTGCGGCTTTCCCTTGCTTCCAGAAATGTCTTTTTACTGCTTCATATTGCAATACCTTGGCCTGAATGTACAGTGGTGATGAGGTGACCAGATGTTTTCTGAAAACCAAGAGCTGTGTCCCACATGAATTGAGTTTAGGGTTTTGCTGGTCTCAGTTTTCAGCATGATTCAATGAGTTGGACCTGCTATCTTTTTAAAAGGGCCCCACGGTCTTGCTGACAGCAGTGGGAGCTTCTTTTTCCAGTGGCGGGAATGTTTCCTCTTACTTTTCTGAACAGAATTTCAAAGGCCTCCTGCATCTTTTCTTGCCCTTGCTTGTAAGCCTGGGGATTTTGAGATGAGGATTAAGACTGGGGGTTTTTGAGGTGAGCCTTTTTTTTTTTTTCTGATCTCTTAAACCACTGGCCAGTAGTCTCAGCCAGGTGTTTTGTGTTTTCTCAGTGTTTTTCCTCATCGGTGCTGATACAACTACTGATCTTCATCTCTAAACTGACCCTTCATCTCTAAAGGGTCTGCTGTTCTTTGAGTCTTCCTGTGAGACAGCAAAGGCATCATGGTGGGATGCTCTGCAGAGATGAATCCGGCTCCATACCCCTTCATGTGGCTGATCTGAATCCCATTCGCAATTCCATCCCATTTAGTCTTTTCTTACCCTCGAATGACAGGACAGCCGTTTTCACTGCTTCTCACCTTCCTTATGTCTTGGATGTCTTTATTTAGCTTTCTTTTCACACCATGATTACTATAAAACTTGTATTGTTGGATAAACTTACATGAGGGCCAAAAACTGGTTGAAAATGAACTAATTCTTTCCATCACCCAATTATTTTTAACCTATTAAGTAGTTTGCTTTGGTTCATTTCTCTTCTGAATGTTTTGACTGTTCTGCATCATGTGACTATGTCCTTAAATGTCTATAGGGTCTTTATTAAGTTACATCAATCGTTCTGTAGATTGTATATTAGACTCACCTGGCAAGCTTCAAATGCTAGATGTCGGTGCCCAGGCTGTGTCCCAGGCCAATTCCATCAGAATCTCTGAGTGGTTGGGCCAGGTCTTCCTCATTATTTCTAATATACAGCTAACCTTAAGATTGCATTTACCATGCAGATTTAAAAAATTATCATATCTCTGAAATAGGAATTTGGTTGTATCAAGTAGAATGCTGCTTTATCAATACAGAATCAATTCAGTCCTCCCCTTTGCGCCCCCAGCCATAGGACTCCTCAAGGAGCAAAGGTAATGGCAAAGGGACCCTTGAAACTCAGCACCTCTCACCTACATAGCATGCTATCACTCAGCAGATAGTCATGTTTCAAACAGCAGAGTATTGCTTGGTTGTGTTCCCAGGAAGGAAAGGGCTGAGCTCTATGATTACATCTATTGCAGTGTTAAGTCCTCATAACCATCCAGGGAAGGGCAAGGTGTTGTCCACAGGATAAGAAGAAATCAGACCCAGTGAGAATGAGTGCCTGCTGGAGTAAGGACCACAGGTGGGATGGAACCTGGTTCCTTCTCTTTCCTAACTACTAAATTTCAGCACATCTCAGTCCAGCACATACCATGAGAAATTTTCTGCTTAGATTTTGATGCCCTGGGAGGCAAATCCTCCTTAAAAATGAGTGTGCTATTGCCAGCCACACACTATTCTTGACACCTGGCAGGCTCTGGGCCCTCAGTGATGAAGTGAGGAATCCACTTTGTTCACTCTCCTTAAAGCAAAGGACAGTGTTTGAGATGCAAATCAGAAGATTGAGAAGGGGCTGCCTCCAGAATGTGTTATCCTTTGCCTTGGGAGGGAGGCCTCAGCCAAGCCTGGATGGGGACAGTCCAGGGAAGCCTTAGGGTGTTCTCCTTGGTAATTCAGAAGGACTGGCATCTGTCATTGATCAGTGAATGGTATTCAAAATAATGACAAGCATGCACGGTCTGTGGTCAGTTTCTTCCTGAAACAGACTGCAGGGCATTCTTGGTTGTCTGCTCCTTCCTTTTTGTTTGATTCTTCGCTCAAGGATGGTGGGTTGTGATGGGAACAGTTTGAGTAGAATTTTCATTTAAAATTCCTTTACTTAAGTTGTCAATTGTAGGTTGTTGTGGCAATCTATATGACAGAATCAGAGGTACAAACATAGGAAAGAATTGAAGACGCTCTGTTGGAAGTGTTCTTTGGAGAGAGACAACTGGGTAGCTACCATTTATAAAGAGCACCAAGACACAGCATTGGGGGGCTGTGCATAGCAAGTTTTTCCACATTGCAGAGAACAGCAAGGAGGTGGCTGATTGTTAGTTCTGGGTGTGGATATTAAAAAGATCCTATTACTGGGACATGTTTTGAATTCAGCTTGACATGGCTAGTCCACAGCGACCCAACACTTGTCTACATCTTTCTGTCGAACAAAGGGCTGCAGGAAAGGGCCAGGGCCAGGTCAGGTGGGGGTAGTGTTCATTCTTCCATGTCAAGAATGGTTAGCTTCAAGCATTTGGTGGCTTCTGCTGACAGCTGAATCGGCAGATTTTGAATACATCTCAGTCTGTTGCTAAGTTTTGCCCATTGGAAGTTCTGCTTCAATACTGTTTACTAGGGAGAAAGTGACCTCAACTATCTTGGTCTTGTGAGGCCAATCACGAGAGAAGTCCCTTTGTTCATGTGACACAAAGTTGCTGGTCAGATTGTACCTCAAATCATTTAGACTATGGCAGTGTCCTGGGCATCTTTCTGAATAGAACACACTTCCTGGGTTTGGTCCTTTTGTTTTCTGAAGGTGGTAAGGACCACATCCTTTTAACACACACAGAGTGAGACTGAACGTCCGGGGGCAGTTTCTGTCTTGCCTCTGCCCCTCCTTGCCGTTGTGTTTGGCCTTTTGCATAGGACAGTGGGTGGGTCAGAAGTGAAGCTGAGTCTTAATTCAGCCACCTGCCAGCAGGGTGAGTTACTTACACTTGAGCTATGTGTTCCTTATTCCTGGGAAGGGGGAGGGATAGAATCCCTTATCTTAGTGGGAAGATCGTGAGAGACTGGGTGTATATAGGGTCTGGAAAGATGTTACACGGTTCTTGGGTACTCATCATTTGGCAGCCCATGGAGTCCCATCTACTCTTTCTCTCGTCATTGACTTCTTCCCTTTGGACTTCCTTTGGCCTCCCCCGGCCCCTCTGCAGTTTGGTCCCCAGCAGTGGCCAGCACGATCGTGATGCAGATCCATGTGGTCAATGAATGGCTCACCATAGCTCCTTTGTTCTCTTTGGGCTGGCTTGGGTCCCAGTGTCATTTGCTTGCTATCATCTCCAGGATTTCTGGTCTCATGCCCATCTTTCGAGATCTACACACACACATATGTGTGTATGTAGATACATGTATGTTTATGTGTATACACACACAATGTTGTGATCTTATGGTTATAAAGAGGATACTCTGCTGGGTAGGAGTGCAGGTAGAGGTGGGAGAAGGGTGAGGGTAAGTGGTAAATGGAAGGATCATGTCAAGTTAAACGAATGCTGCTTCTCTATTTCTGAACTCTTTTTTGCTTTCCAGGCTGTGTGTTTGAAGGTGTGCAGCACCGAGAAGGGGAGGAATTTCAGCCAGAAGGAAGCAAATGTATCAAGTGTTCCTGTGTTGTAAGTCCTACTGTAGATGCTACTAGGGTGATCCTTTGGGTTAATGGTTCCTTGCATTCACCAAGAGCAGCCCCATTTCTTATATTCTCTCTGCTCTCTTCCCAAGAGAAACATCAGTTTCTCCTCATGTGGAACCAAGGGAAAAACTCAACCTTGGTGCTACTGACACTCTGGGCTGGGCAGTTCTGTGTTGGGAGGCTGTCAACATTCATTGTAGGTCACTTTACAGTGTTCTGACCTCAGCCTATTGGATTCCAGTGCTATCCTTTACCCCAAACCCACCATGTCTGCAGACATTGCTCCTTCTCCTCTGGAGAGCAAACTGGCTGATGATTAAGAACCACAGCACCAAGGAATGAGGAACAGAGACTGATTTTCCCCCATCGCCCTCCATTTTGGGGAGAACATGGATTTTCTGCTGCTTGGGATAGGGGAGCTTCTTGCCCTCTGCAGTTGAGTTTAGTGCAGTCAGGTGGAAAGCAGATGGGCACCAGCACAGCTTGTCTCAATATATCCTGTGGGAATGACGGTTGGTCAGGTATGGTTGCAGAGGAATCACCAGGAGGAAATTGCCCCTAAACGATGAACCCAGGACAGAACGAGGGATTAGTGAGACAAAGTCATAGGCTTCTCTAAGCGTGCTTAGGAATGAGGAAAGGAACCTGGCCTATGTTACAATTTTAAAGGAACCTTTTTTATTAATGCATTTTAAATTTGGAATAAAATCATTATGGCTGTAGTGGTGATGGTGGTGATGGGAAATGTGGTCTTAAGCAGCTGCTCCAAGTTATTTACAGTAGGGTGTTAGTACAGCCGTATATTTTTCATCTTTTATAATAAATAACATACATTTTCCAAGTCATTTGTGACTCAAAATGCATCTCAGAATATTAAAAAGAAAATACATGGAGAACTCTAGTATCCTAATTTCACCAAAGCAGAATCATATGTGGATCATCATAAATCACAGCATTTGTCTTTTCTGTATTTGTCTTTTCTCAACTAGTTTCCTCTTCCTACAGCACATGGGCAACCAACTTAGAGAATCCAGGTTACATTAAACATGAACAAGGTTGAGGGTTTTTGTATGAGGAAGAAGAATGGGAAGGAAGAAAGGAAAGGAGATGGGGAAGGAGAGGTACCGTATATATGTATATGTATACATATATCTAGTTATATGGCATATATGGTATTTATATATGAAAACACAAAAATAATTGACTAATGAAAATGAGCATCAGCTTGCATATTTTAGCTCAGCTTCCATGTTTTCTTGCTAATCATGGGCAAATAGCTTTATGTATATATTTTTTATGTAACTGATTTCTATTTGCTTTAAATATTGCCTGCTTTCTCAATTTTATTTCTTCCATATTGGAAGCTGTAACATTTTCTGATATATATATATATATATATATTAGTAATGTCATTCATTTGGAAGTAGGTTGAAGAGAAACAAGGCATATTTTAACAGGAAATTTTAAATGTGTGTCTGAATGTATTGTCTTTCTAATAAAGATGTGTGGTGGTCAGATAACAGAGACTCCTCAGGGAGGAAACTTAGAAGGTGGTAAGAAGGGTGGGAAGTTCCTGTAGTTTTACCAGTGACATCAGTCTAAAGCATCTAGATTTGGAATGGACATGAACTTGGAGCTTATGTGTACAGGGGTCACAAACTGACCTGAGGCATTGGAATTTCATGTTTTTAAACGTAATGTACGCTGAATGAAACACACCTGAGTACCAAGTTCAGGCCCCTGGATGTCCTGCTTTCATTTTCAGTTGAAAAAAAAATCCAAGGGTGGTGTTATTTGTCCAAGCTTTCTTGCTTAGAGATTCTTTCCAGCCCTGTAGCCCTCTCCTGTACGCATATAATCTAATTTCCTGTGTTCCTGTAATTCTTATATTCTTTCCAGTTCTCCATGTTGCCACCCTCAGCACTTAAAAGGGCAGCTAATAGCTTTGATTACATTTCTGACATCGGTCTTTAGATGAGGGGGTTAATGGGAGAGGGGTGGAGTTCTTACTTGAGGACAGGACACTGGTGTTTGAGCCTGGATGTGGGGTGCAGTTTTTCTTTTCATGAATACAAAAACTTTATTATTAAAGTAACCTGGATTTTAATAGTCTCTAATTTTTCTGTCTTTTGATGTAGTACAATAACAAGGAAGGTCTTAGGAGCCAATGGCTTTGTCTTGAAAGTGACGTCTATGCAGATCTTTGCTTGAGAATGTAATATTCCAAATGCATGATGGACTCAGTAGTTTTCCCTGGATGCCCAGCAGCAGGCTAGAAGGCTTTGGTGTATAAACTGTGTGAAGGTGTGAGGTGTCATCTCACTGGGTGAGAAGGCAAAGCTGGACCAGTGGGAGACCAAACTCTGCTGCAAAGGTTTCTGGGGTAGTGGGGGAGCGCACACTTTAAGTCATCTTTACGTTACTTAGAATACCTAAAAAAAATGTAAATACTAAGTAAGTCATTGTTATACTCTAGTGTTTAGGGAATAATGACAAGAAAAATGTCTATATATTTTCAGTATAGGCAGTTTTTTTTCAAATATATTTGATCTGTGAGTAGTTGAATCCACTGTTGTGGAACCAATGGGGATGGAGGGCCAACTGTATTTATGTGAATATATGTTTGTGTTCATAAGTGCATTTGTCTACACTCATATATACAAAGGCATATATACAAATATACATAAACATGACTGTAAGTACAAAAACACACATTTACACATTTAAGTGTGGATTCCCCCAGCAACAGACCCTGAGAAAAGTAATTTTATGTAAGTAAGTACTTTATGAGTTTATGTGGGAGATGAGACAAGGAAGGGGAGACAGCCAGTTGAGGGTCCATAACCAAGTGCTGTGTTCTTAATGTCACCTATCCCCCCTAAATCATGTGTTAAAACTTAGTCCCCATTGTGGTAATATTAAGAGGTGGGCCCTTGAAGAGGTAATTAGTTATCAAGGTATCTGCTGTCATGCATGGATTAGTGTCCTTATAAAAGGTCTTAAGGGAAGGAGTTCAGTCTCTCTTACCTTTCCATCTCTTCTGCCATGTGAGGACACAGTGTTCCTCACCTCTGGAGTACAGGACAACAGGTGCCATGTTGGGAGCAGAGAGCAGCCCTCACCAGATTCCAGAGCTGCTGGTGCCTTGGTCTTGGACTTTCCAGCCTTCTAGAATTGTGAGAAATAAGTATTTATGAATTTCCTTGGCTGTGATATTTTGTTACAGCAGCACAAATGAACCAAGACTCCTAATGAGCTACCATTGTGGGTGACCAGAACTTAACCCTTTCTGGGAAAATCTGGAAGCCTTATAAAATTCATTGTGTCATGAACTCTGAGTTAAGTTTTCACACCCAAGGGGTGAGATAGCTGAGATGTATCTGACAGTTCTCACCAGGAAGTAGCTGAAGGCTGCCCCCAGAAGTGTGTGATCACATAAGATTTCCAGTTTCCATTCAGATGGAAAAGTGGCTTTTTGCAACCAAAGAAAGAAACACAGGTGTTAGCAGTTAGGAGTCTGGCTGTTCATTCAAGTAACGGGTGAGTGGATGTGCGTGGGGTAGCTACAATCAGCTACAACAGAGAGGTACACGTGTATTTGTGTGTGTATATGCACATCAGCATGTACCCATTACTGTTCATTTCTCTGAATATGTATGCACATATGTGCATATGCTCACACATATATGCTTACCTGCTTAGAACACTGGATCACTAGCATTTACTCAAACCTATTACTCATATGTCTCCAGTTCACACTCATTCTGCTGTCATTGTCCTTGCTTCTTCTTTTCACCTGGACTTTTCCAAGTTGGTAATCATCAGCCCCTGCAATTCCCTGAGTACCTAGTCCCCCCAGGCAGAAGCAGTGGGTTTCTCATTTGTATTTCTGAGATGCTGTGACTCTCGCTTGCTAGCACACCTGCCTTCCTTCCCTCTGTACACACATAAGTATGAGCACACATACCCACTTCTTGTGAGCACTTGCCCTGGGGTATGACAGTTATTGGTTTGCTTTCCTGCTTCCCATGTTAGTTGTGGAAGGGGCAATGTCTTCCTCCATATGGTCATCTTTCTATCCTCTGTAGCACCATGGTGCTCAGCAAGGTTAGCACTCTTTTCCCCTTTTCTTATTCTATGTTTTGATGTAGTACTCTAGGAAACAGTAATGTTTTCTCTTCCATACTGTGACAATTCTGCTCTATCATGCTTGCCAGCTTATTCTTGCTTGGGAGAATCACTACAGTTGGCTATACCACTATCATTAAGCTTACTGTTGGTTTACAGAATTGTGTGTATGGGATGCCTTCCTTATGTATATTATCTGACCAATGAATTGCCAAGTCTTTGAGGTGGCCCTGTTCTCTTAAGTACATATTGTTGACACCATGTGGCTTGCATTCTAAGTCCAATCCCCTTCTTTACACCTTCCAAATTTATGAAAATCTGTCTGCCCATGTTTTTATGATGTGGTGACAGAGGCAGGCCACCAGAAAGACACTACATCTTATTGAGATGGATGCCTTAGTTTATGAAACAAATGCCTTGCACATGATTTTACATCCTGGTTTTAGTTGGGACAGTACGTATGGCATTCCAGACAGTTGAGAACATACTAACCTTTGAAGCTATCTGGAGAGGGTTTCACAACCCTTTGCTCCCGCCCGTTCCAGAAGCTGAATATCATTGTGACTCACTTAGGAAATGCAGTGCTTTATTATCACTTGTTAAACTGTGTCATCCTGACTTATCATTCTATAAATGAAAGACCAAGAAGCTCTTGGTCAGAGCCCCATATTAGTCAGGGGAATGACTTGCATTCCTTCAGCTGTTCCACATACATGCCTGAGTCATTGGATTGTATTCCTTAGGAGGTGTTCAACGTGAGTAAGCACTGTATTCATTTTAAAATAAAAAGGTGATTCCTTCCTAAGTCTGAAGCAAAGAATAATTTATAAAGCATACTGAGTATTGGATAAAACA